ACTTGGTGTTGACGACATTCCCATCTTCCCCTCCTCTTCGTCTAACCCCTCCTTCTTCGTCTGTGTATGGTTGGGGCTGGCGCAGTCTTCTTGTGTGAAGCGCCAGACCCCCTTCACACCTGATAACGATGATGATGATGTGTGTTCAGAGCTGCATTGCAATATTGATTGTTCGGATCATTCGTATCTAAGTCTTCCGCTGTGTTATCTTGTGCTTTGTATTGAGAGGTCGGTTCTTGTTCTGGTCTGCACAGTTACCGTATGCAACACTCCCCCTCCAGGCACAAGCCAACCAATCAGCCCTGGCCACTTGCCAGTTGGCATCAGCAACTGGCAGTGGTCTAACACTCATTATGACTTCCCTCGTGATTACACGTAACATGATAGTAACATGACAGGAGCATGATAGTTTCATGATAGTAACATGATAGTAACACGATAGTAACATGATGGTAACATGCTTATGACAGTAGCATAGTAACATGTAAGTAACATGATAGTAACATGATAGTAACATGATAGTAACATGATAATAACATGGTAGTAACATCGTAGTAGTAGCATGAAAATAGCATGATAGTAACATGATAATACCAATGTACCATGATAGTAACATTATAGTACCATGATAGTAGCATGATAGTAGTGTCAGAAGGTCTGACAGACTCTGACTTATCATAAACACAAATTACAAAGTAACAAACGTACCTCCTCCATCGTTGCAAGTTTTGCTGTGAGAAACTCCACTTGCTTATTGAGATCAAGGACTCTACGCTTTGTTATTTCGTCATGATAGTCTGCAACAACCATACAGCGGACAGGAAATCACGGGAGACTCGCAGACTGAAATCATTAGTGAAATGCCAATTGCCACTCACTTGGAAGTCGGAAAGCAGTTGAAAAAAATTGTTTCATGAAGTGACTGCATAATCAAAATGAAAATTAACGGAACAAATTCAAAAAAATCACCGCGATGTTTTTCTAATTTGACTAGTTCAGGCCACAGAGGTAAGACTCAAAAATAATCACACAAGTTCACAAACTGTGTTGCCGCGTGTTCAGTGAACACCGTTCAATCGCGTTCAACGAACTCGAGTAAATGCTGTGAACGCCCCGCAGGCTTCAGCTGGACACACTGGTGCGGGGCTGTTTTGAACGTTTTGAGATAGGAGGGGGGCGTAGGCAATAGTCTACTAGCCCTCAAACCGTGTCTTTCTTTCTTTTCTCACGGAGAGAGAGAGAGAGAGAGAGAGAGAGAGAGAGAGAGAGAGAGAGAGAGAGAGAGAGAGAGAGAGAGAGAGAGAGAGAGAGAG